AGAGAAGGTACAAAAATAATAGGAAATTTTATCAACAATATTTCTTTCTTCTTTTTCTTCCCCCTTACCCAATATAAAGGGGAAACAAATAATGTTTATGATGATCAAATTTTTCTGCAGATCCAAAAAAGCTATTTTTCTACCCATATATTAGTAATGTGTGCTTGTTAATGGCATAGGTATTTAGGGCTCAAAGTGTTAGTGGAGACCTCCTCCATGGGCTTTGGTTCTCTGTAAGGATGCAAAAAAACAAAGTTCTTACCTGTTGCAAGAAAGTTTATTGACAATAAGGAAATAAAGAACAGAAGAACACCTCAAGAGCGAGGTGGGTCTCGTCAAGGGAGGCAATGGCCCTGAAGAGCTGGGGTACAGAGATTTAAAGGCAATGGCCAGTTTGCTTAATCCAGGGAGTTGTTCATTGACAGTCTTGATTGACAGCTGCAGGTTATGTAACAGCATATGCAGCATGTCCTTCCCATAATTCAGTCTGTTATAAATAGATGTATATATTCATGGAATATTATCAGCAGTTAATAAATCCAATGGCCACCGAAGGTTACTTTAGTATATGATAGTGTGAAGTGTGGGCATGTCCCAGAGTAGGGAAAGTCCTGCCACAAGGCCTGTGGGGAATTTTTCCAGCTTCCTGACTATTTTGGAGTACTGATGGGGGTATCTTAGGGGCAGGGCTAGTAAATTGCTCGGTGTGGAGGTGGCGGGGCGGGGTGGGGGTTAGGTGGCTATTGGATGTTTAGCTGTTTAGCTGAAGGGGCACCTCGCCTTGCTCTTAGCTAACTTCCTGCCTAATGAAAGGGAATTCCAGATCTGCTAGTCAAAATATTTTGTTTTACAGACAAAAAAAGTAAAGACTAAAAAGATAAAATTGTATGTTTAAAGCCACATGATTAATCTGTAAACCTAGCTACAATCCAGGTATTTTGACAAATGAGTACACAAATACATAGGCAATATGTGATTATATAACTATATGAATGTGTGTCATATGTAAGTATGTAGGTGTTTTTAACATGAAAGATTACTTTAAGAAAAAAAACTGGCATCAGTCACTGATTTATATTTAGTGCTTTAATTATTAGGGCATCAAAAAGAAAGATAGAATTTTGCTTACTTAAGTAGCACAGTGCTCATCAGAAGACTATGAAATGTTTATAGTTTCCTCTTAGCATGTCAAAGTTATAATTGAATTCCCCGAGAAAATGACTCTAGGCTTGCAAATACTTTGGAGTAACTTTTAAAAAAACTAGTCTTCGTTAGTTAAATTGCATTTATTTCACAATTACAAGTTAGTTCCTTATCTTAAGTCCTGAATATTGATTACATGACAATCTACTATGATTCCAAAGAAATCAATGCATCAGCAAGCATCATAAAAACATTTTTAACACACAGAAATGGCCCTTTCCATCCTTTTTAAGAATTAAAGATTTAAATTTATCATGATAGAAACAGTGGACAAAGAAACATTTACCCTTAATGAATATAACAAAAATTCTCAGAGAAAAAAATACAGCTAAAATAATATTTTCTTTCATTTATTTACTTCCACTATAACTAATGTTTGAGATCACATGTCATTTGAGATTATATCAAAGCACTTCAGTAACAAGTCTCCACAAATGGTAGTTGTTATTAAAAAGCAGCAATAACTTTGATAAAAACAACAGACGTTCCTCAGAGAAAAGTTACCCCAGGCATTGTCTGGAGTGTTTTATTATTCAATAATTTGTCTTAGGAGTTCCCGAGCAATTTTAACTTTTACCTTTATAGATATGCTTCCTTCCGTAACTGATAAAGAACCATGAGAACTGGAAAATGGCCAGTTTAATTTTGTAACACACATAAAACCCAACTTAATTTCCCAAATGAGCATTTTCCAAATGGTGAGTGGGAAAAATACATAAAACAGAGGTGGGCATTACTATGTCTGTTCCCAGGGGTAGTATTGATACTTTCTCTGTTTGAATAACACTCTATCAAATAGAAACAAAATTACACTATTATACTCTACAGAATTATAATGATTCATCTTGAATCCTTCCTGGGAAATTTGAAAATAAAAACACAATTATCTTCATATTTTCTTCTTTATGTAACATATTGTTGAAATTTTACAAATTGATGATTTCTTCAAAAGAAAAGATTTCTAATGATGTATGGCAAATATGTATTTAAATAAGAAATTCTGACTCTCTTTTTGAGGCTTGCATGTTTGTGCATGTGGTGAGAACAGAAGTGGTGGCTTAAATACAATCTGAATCTCAAAGACATGCTGCCCTTTTATTTTTATTCTAATAATTACTTCCAACCTAAAGGTTCATATCATCAAAAGAATAAACCGAAATTTGTAGAAAGAACAAAATACCATTTTCTTTTTAACATACAAAAGCTTATTGCATAGACAAGATGTATTTGTTTTCAGAAGATAGTGTTAGGGCTTATGGTGGGCCACCTCAAAATATGTCAAGATGGCATGCTTGTTTTCTCTGATTAAAGTTACTTGAATGACTGATGTGGGACTTTCCCTGGTGGTCCAGTGGTTAAGGGGAGTGCAGGTTTGATCCCTGGTGGGGGAGCTAGGATCCTGCACGACTCCTGGTCAAAAAACCAAAATATAAAACAGAAGCAATATTATAACAGATTCAATAGACTCTAGAAATGGTCTTCATCAAAAAAAATTCTTAAAAAAAAAAAATGACCAGTGTGAGAGAGACACTGACTCTTCTTTCTGTCTCTCTGGAAGCAAGAAATAAATCTCACCTGTGACAGGTCCTCTCCCTCCCTGTGGAGGGCACCTCTATCACCAGAGGTGAGAAATTTGGGCAGAGAGGCCTGTATAAATAAACCACCTTATTTCTTGTATTTACTACTCCAAGCACAAACTCTATTTATGGCTTACTAATTAAGCACCCAAAGCCTAAACTCCCTTGTCCTGTCAATTTCTCACAAATTTATTGTTTGTCTAAAAAGTGTAAAACCTGCCTGCTTTGGCCACTTTTGAGGTCTCATTTCTATGAGTTCTCCATGCAACATGAAAATGAATTAAAATATGCTTCTTTTTCTCCTGTTAATCCACCTTGTGTCCATTTTATCATTAGTCCAGCCACAAGGACTCCAAAAGTGAGAGGGGGGACATTCCCCCTTCAGAGACAATAGTCATGAGGCCTCTTTTGGAAGTTGTTTTAAAGCCCACATGCCCCAGAAGTAGGCGTGTGTTGTAACTGTACAGAGGGTAGAAGGGTAGAAATTTATATGGCAGCTATGGCACTATACTGTGTAGATAGATGCTGGAGTTAAGGAAGTCTAAGAACCAACCTTTCTTTTCTCCCCAGGCATAGCTTCTTGACAATTTCATCTTTCCTTTCACTCACCACACAGGCCTATGGGTGTTCTCAGAATGCCTGTTGTGTTAAAACAGTGACAAATGAAATAGGACATTTATATACTTGAGCTCTTGGATGGCTCTGGATGCTGCAACAACAATCTGTACGGGTCCCCTGAGTATCACATACTAAAAGTCAGCAGAAAGGGGACACTGGAATTTTTGTCTCTAACTTCTGGGGTAATAACTAATATTTACTGTCCCCAGAAATTAGATTTACAAGTAACATTGCTCCCAGGGGATACAGTCCTCTCCAGTTCAGAGTGCCGTTCCCATGGGATTGCACTCATCACTAGACATGGGAGGCTGTGACTGGGACACAGCAGCTTTCAGTTTTAAAATGTGCAGTAAGCACACCCCTTCTCAGACCTAGCTGTGGTCAAAGGCATGTGACCCTCTCCCTGTTACAGAGAAAACTTGCTTCTGCTCACCCTCGCAAGTGACGCCAGTCAACTGACACGAGGTTGTGGTGAAGGAACGTGCAGTGTTCATTGCAGGTGCCAGGCAAGGAGAATGGGAAGCTCAAAATCAAACTCTAGATGGCTTTCAGGGCGAGGGTTTTAAAAGCAGTGTGAGAGGGAGTGCTGCTGGGTGAGTGAACAGCTTATGCATGATTCTTGAATTGGTTGCCATCAATATTAAGTTTCAAGCATCATCAACCTTCTGGTTTCAAGCTGTCCAGCGTCTATATTCTTATGGTCATAAATTTTCATCTGGTGGGGATCTGCTTCCTATAAAAACAACCTAGGAATGGGCAAGCCTTTTGTCTGTATCTTTCAGGGACCTAGTGATTCCGCCATGTGGTCCATTTATTCTAAGTTGTTAAAAAATAAATAAATAAATTGTTACCAATTCCCCAGTCCAACAGCGATTCTTTATTTCTACATCTTCACATTCGTAATTATTAGCTCTGAAGCAGCCTTTAGAACTCAGAGGAGACCTGGTAGCCTAAAAGAAATGACTTTTACTTCAAAGGATAGGAACACAAGGGTTTATTACCGGTTCATCCCTAATCTCTCTCTCTCTCTCTCTCTCTCACACACACACACACCCACACACACACCCACACACCCTCTCACACAGAGAAACCGTAGGCTCCTAACAACTGATAACCAAAAATAAGGCAAACCTACTGGATGGATACAGATTTGGACATCCTGAGGACGGAAATCACGTTGAGCAGACACGGAGGACAAGTTTTGTTTGTCTGGTCTTTTTAACCTATGACAACTCTTTCCCTCCCCGTCGTCTGTAGCTGCCAGGCGCAGCCCTTGGAAGCGAGGGTTCGGCGGCAGCCTCCCCGCCTGGCGCCCACGCGTCGCCCGCGCTGCGCCGGGAAGAAGCCAGCCCTGCTCCGCCCGGTGCCTCCGCAACCCCGCGCCCGCGAAGGTTAGGCGACCCCCGCCCAGATACCTCCCCGCCTGACTCTGGAAGGTGCGAGAAAGACCGGCGCTCTGCTTGTTCTGGGTTTTTATGATTTTTCTGTTTTCTAGCAAGGAGAAAACCTGGGCCTTGAAGAGTTCCTGGGGAGCCCGAGCTACGGTGCTGCCGCGCCCACGGCGGCCCCGAGCCCCACCTCCCTGCGCGGCCTTGGCTGGCCCTACCCCGGAGACCGGGTGCCCAGGGGTGGCTCCTCTCCCACGCCGATCCGAAGGTAGGGGGCGCCCCGAGCGTGTTCGGGGAGCAGGGCCGGGGAGCTCAGCGGGAGCGGTCGCTTCCTCTGGCGCCCCCAGTCCTGCCGCCGCTGGGAGCAGGAACGGCCGCGATCCTGGGAGCCGAGGCGCCCCGAGGTGCCCGTAGGGCCGGGGTTGCGATCAGGGGTCCGAGCTGGGAGCGAGCGCCTCTGGGGCGCGGAGGGAGAGGGGAGGATCCTGCGGCGGTTCCGTGCGAGTCCGGTGGCCGGGGCGTGGGTGAGCATAGCTGAGCGGCCAGAGCGTGTCTAGGGTCCCGCCGGCACGGGTGCAGGGAGGACGCGGCTCGGGGGAGGGCGAGCCCGGGGAAGCCAGGCAAATTCGGGGCTGGGGTGCCGGAGGGCTCCAGGCGGGGGCCCCGGGCGCTGAGGCCCGGGACCCCGCAGCGGCGCGCCCGGGTCTGCGCTCAGGGGGCAGGTATCCCAACTCATCCCAGTGCCCCGAATTCCGAGTCTGGGAATTCATCCCGGAGCTTGCGGACCTTTCAGTTATCTTTTTAAAGGGACCGAACTACCCTGTTGGATGGAAGCCCAGAGACTTGCTGGGAGACCGTGGAAATCACCGAAGGCGCCCTCAGCGAAATTTGCCTCCCAGATGCAATTTTAAATTTCAGATTTCTCAAGAGAAAAGAAACTCTGATGTTAGAAATGGGGAGAGAGGGTGGCTCGTGCCTGCGTGTTCATCAGCTTGAGCGGAACAGTATTTCTTTACAATTCACATTTTACCAGATTCTGGCTTTAAAAGTAGATCATGGGGATATTTGAGAACGTGAAATATAGCCATTGTCCCAGGATCACAGCAAAGTAGGCAATAGGTGATATTTTATCATTGCTAGAGGGGAAAAAATTGCACGTATTTTATTCTTTTGTGTGATTAGTAACCTTTTTGAGAAGAAAGATGTGTATTTCCATAAGGCAGGAAAAGATCACAGCAAAGCAACCTTATTTAAATGTATAAGCTCAGTCCTTCTATGTCCTCTGAGTTACATGCAGCTCCTCCCATTCTTTTTAAGAACTATGTATTAAAATATTGAAAGTCTGTTCGCAAGATTCCATTTGTCTTTGTGTCACATATAGATCAATTTTTATAAACAATTACAATATAACAAATTTGCAGTGTCTTTACAAGACTTTTTAAAAAAAGTCACCACAGTTAGACCCGGAACTTCTGTTTCTTTCGCTTGTTACTCTGAGGATAAAAGTTTGATGTTTCAGCCTTGGAATTCTGAGCGGAGGAGGGGGGTTAAAACCAGGTATAAAAGAGTGAACAAAAATTAGACACCACAAAACGTTTCGCACAGTCAATATCAGATGTCTTCTAAAATAATATTTCATTTTAAAAACATTCTTTATTTCATAATTTCTCTAGTGATCTAAGATGAAGAGAAGTTCACGTTTAATATTTTTATTATCTGTAAAACATTTATGCTGCATAAAATTGTACAACATTCATTACAACACTTGTTGAAAAGCAGATCATTTTTAAAGAGATTTCCATTTCCATTATAGGTTTGTTTCTTGTGCTTTTCAGGAAGAAAGAGAAATTAGGGAGTGAATTTAATGAAAGAAACCCTCTATGTTTTTTTCATCTTTCATTTTAAAGTTATTCCTATACTATACGTTTTTCAAGTAAAGAAACGGAAGACTTGAATCTTATTAGACAAAATTTTCCTGATGTTCAAAATGTTCCCAGACTACAAGGAGACACTTTGAAAGAAACAGTTTAACATTCCCTCTTTGCCCCCGTCTCTCATTTGCAATATCCATTATTTAGTTGTGAGAAGTTATCCATCCAAGAAAACATTTACATCAGGTTCCTTTAGTGTCTAGTGTGATCTTAGGTGTTATGTGTGTACTTGGGGTGGAGTGGGGCTACAGGAAGAGCACAGAAGGTTTAACTACATAGTCACAGCAAAATAAAATGAAAAAAATGAATGGTAAATGAGTGAATGAATGTGTGGTGAGAGAAAGCATAAGGGAAAAAAGATAATTTAATCTATCAGTAAGTACAAATAGTCATAGGATCTCCAGAAATACAAGTGTTCAAGCTATAGTGAAAAAAAGGCATCAGGAGAATGCCTTTCTTTCATTTATTCATCATTCATGGAGGGTCTTTCGTGTATGAGACAACTGTAGTCTGCAACAACTCATCTGCTACTGCTGCTCCTAAGTCGCTTCAGTCGTGTCCGACTCTTCGCGATCCCATGGGCTGCAGCCTACCAGGCTCCTCCGCAAATGGGATTTTCCAGGCGAGAGTACTGGAGAGGGTTGCCTTTGCCTTCTCCCAACAACTCATCAGAGATCTTGAATTAATCTCTCAGAATATTCTCCACATCATACCTTGTATAAGTTATCTTTCTTCTGCCGGAGCCTAGCAAAGCACCTAGCATATTAGATATTCAATAAATGCTAATTGAATGAATAAAGGAACAACTGATCTTTCTTAGCTATTCATTAACAAAAAAGGCCTCCCTTTTAAATTATGTGTAAATTAGTGTCTTTTAGAGAATGATAGAAGTGTTGCCTTCAGTCTTGTCATGTCCAGTGAATATTCAGGATGACATTTCTTTCATCTAATCAGAGACATTAGTTTTTTCCTTAATGAGTTCAATATTTATGTGCATATATTATAATAGAATTGTACCAGCCACCAACTGTACAACCTAATGTACTTCTTTTTCATTTAAGTAAAAATGTAAATATTTTTTACCTTTTCAGTTTTGTGTTCTTATATGATAGCCTTTATCAATGAAGATATTTTGGGGCAAACCTCAGACATATTGCAGACTTGGTTCCAGACCATAACAACAAAGCAAGTCACATGAGTGTTTCATTTTCCAGTGTATATAAAACTTACGTTTACACTGTAGTCTATTAAGCATGCAATAATATTTTATCTAATAAAATAATGTGCATGCATGCATGCTAGGTAGCTTCAGTTGTGTCCGACTCTTTGCAAGGCTATGGACTATAGCCTACCAGGCTCATCTGTCCATGGGATTCTCTAAACCCCATGGAGAATCCCATGAGCAGAATCCCAAGGGCCTCATGGAGACTTCCATGGATAGAATCCCATGGACAGAGAATACTGGACTGAGTTGCCATGCCCTTCTCCAGGGGATCTTCTGAACCCAGTGTCTCTTATTATGTCTCCTATATTGGCAGGCAAGTCTTTACCACTAGCATCATCTGGGGAGCCCCAAAACAATGTACATACCTTAATTAAAAATCCACTATTGCTTAAAAAAATGCTATCATCTGAGCCTTCAGTGAATCATAGACTTTTTGCTGTAAAGGGTCTTACCTCAGTGTTGGTGGCTGCTGACTGATCAGGGGACTGATGGTTGCAGAAGGTTGGGGTGACTGTGGCAGTTTTTTAAAGTAAGGCACAATGAAATTTGCCCCATTAATTGTATCTTTTAGGAGTGATTTCTCTGTAGCAAACAATGCTGTTTAATAGTATTTTGCCTGCAGTAGAACTCCTTTCAAAGTTGGAGTCAGTCCTCTCAAGCCCTGCTGCTATTTTATCAACTAAATTTATGTCATATTGTAAATCTTTTGTTGTCATTTCAACAATCTTCACAGCATTTTCACTGGGAGAAGTTTCCATTTTGAGAAACCACTTTCTTTGCTCATCCATAAGAAGCAACTCCTCACCCCTTAAAGTTTTATCATGAGATTATAACAATTCAGTTAGTTCTTCAGGCTCTGCTTGCTATTTCCACCACATTTGCAGTTACCTCCTTCACTGAAGTCTCGACTCCTCATAGTCATCATGATGGTTGAAATCAACTTATTCCCAACTCCTGTTCATATTGACATGTCGACTCTTCTCATAAATCACAAATATTCTTAATGGTATCTAGATTGGTGAATACCTTCTAGAAGTTTTTCAATTGACTTTGCCCAAATTCATCAGAGGAATCATTATCTATGGCAGTTATAGCTTTACAAAATTCTCTATCTTAAGTAATGACTTGAAAGTTGAAATTACTCTGATCCGTGGGCTGCAGAATTGATGTCATGTTAGCAGGCATGGAAACAACATGAATTCTCTTACATCTCATCAACCTTTTGGGTGACCAGTTGTATTGTCAATGTGCAGTGATATTTTGATAGGAACTTTTTTTTTTTTCCTGAGCAGTAGATCTCAACAGCAGGCTTAAAAAATCTGGTAGGCCATGTTGTCAATAGACATGTTTTATTGTTCCATTTATTAAGCACAGATAGAGTAGACTGAGCAGAATTCTTAAGGGCTCCAATATTCTCTGAATAATGCATTGGCTCAATTTAAAGTCACTAGAGCATTAGCCCTTAACAAGAGAGTCAGCCTGTCCTTTGAAGCTTTGGAGCCAGGTACTGACTTGTCCTCTCTAGCTATGGAAGTCCCAGAGGGCATCTTCTTCCACTATAAGACTATTTTGTCTACATTGAAAACCTGTTAAGTGCAACCACCTTCATTATTTATATGAGCTAGATCTTCTGGGTTACTTGCTGCAGCTTCTACATCAGTACTTGATGCTTCCCCTTGCACTTTGAGGTTATAGAGAAGGCTTCTTTTCTTAAACCTCATGAAACCATCTCTGCTAGCTTTAGACTCTTCTGCAGCTTCCTCAGCTCTCTTAGCCTTGACAGAATTGAAGAGAGTTAGAGCCTTGGTCTGGATTAGGGTTTAGTTTAAGGGAATGTCATTTGTTTGATCTTTTATCCGTTAAAACTTCCTCTGTATCTACAATAACGCAGTTTCTTTACTAACCATTCCTGTCTTAACTGGAGTAGCACTTTTAATTTCCTTCAAAAACTCCTTTGCATTCACAAATTGGCTAACTATTTGGCATAAGAAGCCTAGCTTTCAGCCTATCTGGGCCTTTGGCATGCCTTGTTTACTAAGCTTCATGGTTTCTAGCTTTAGATTTAAAGTGAAAGACTTGAAACTCTTCCTTTCACTTGAATGCTTAGAGGCCATTGTAGAATTAACAATTGGCCTAATTTCAATATTGTTGTGTCTCAGGGAATAGGGAGGCCTGTGGAGAGGGAGAGAGGTGGGGGAACAGATAATGGAGCAATTAAAACAGACACAATGTGTGTGGATTAAGTCGTTATCTTATATGGATACAGTTCATGGTGTCCCAAAACAATTACAATAGTACATCAACAGTCACTGATCACAGATCAACGTAACAAATAATCATGAAAAATTCAAAATATCAAGAGAATCACCAGATGTGACACAGAGACACAAAGTAAGCGTGTGCTGTTGGGAAAATGGTGCTGATACACTTGCTCTATGCAGGGTTGCCACAAACCTTTAATTTGTAAAAACACACTGTAAGTGAAATAAAGTGAAGCACTCATTTTATAATGAGGCCTGATCATAATTTAAAGTTGAAACGTGGTAAATTATCACAATTGTCTATGTAGGTACTCTTCATTTCATTTTGGGACATTTTGAAACCTTGTCTAATTTCAGTAGTTCTGATATATATATATATATATGTAAATAGACATACATACATCCATGCATATATATTCAATGTTCTATATATTCATACATTGAATAGTAAATATATATGAATATAGAATATAAATGGACATTCAATATTCAATGTATGAATATATATTAATATATCTGCATATATTCAATACATGAATATATACATATATTATTGTAGACATTGTATATCTACAACATGTTTTTACATATATACGTATATGTATGTATGTATGTTTACATATACACATATACTAGAACCATGGCTCAGATGGTAAAGAATCTGCCTGCAATGCAGGAGACCCAGGTTCCATCCCTGAGGCAGGAAGATTCTGTGGAAGAGAAAATGGCAACCTACTCCTGTATTCTTGCCTGGAAAATTCCACGGACAGGGGAGTCTGGCGGTTTACAGTCCACCGGGTTGCAAAGAGTTGGACATGACTAAGCACACATGCACACACATATATACACATATAGTCATACTCTGCTAAATTTGCCCATAATCCCAGGATGACTCATTTCTGTTATTTTAAAGCTGAGAAAATTAAACTACTTTTGTAAATTGATTAAGTAGCATATTTATTTAGCATCAACTATGTACAACATACTCGATTAAGCATCATTAAAATCATGAAAATAATTGAGACATTTCCTCTTTTCACCATCAGAGTGGCAAAGAGAGAATTGACCGTCACTGGAGGCACTCTGAATTTTAGACTCACGCCACATTCTTCTGTTATCACCAGTAGGGCTTCTTCTCCTCTTACTTCAAATGTGGGACAGTCATTGTTACTCTCAAGATGCTTTATCCTACAATTACATGTCCCTAGAAAACACAAAGCCATTGTAGAGTATACTGTCCAGTTTCTCTTCTGTCCTTGCCTTGGTCGAAGGGGGGACAATCAGTAGCTACTGATGCACAGCTAAAAAGGACTGTTTTCAAAAAGTGAATCCAGAGACGAATAGCTGAGTATAAAGGATTCATAGTAATAAGCAACCTGTAGAGACTGTGAGTGTAAATAGGATGGTGAAGAAGCCAGACAGAGCCAGGGGGTCACTGGAGCTCAGGAAATGAGGCAGGAAGGCTCATTGATTAGAAGCTCATGGACCTGTCCAGGGGAGCAGCAGGAAGGCCACTGACTGGGAATATGATGAGTGGGATGATTCAGGAAGCCTGGTGAGTCACTATCGTACCTACCAGTTATCTTTTTCAACTTGAGACAATATCAGCATAAATTATTGATTAACGCCTAAGAATAAATGAATAAGATCCTGAACATTTGAATTCATTTATCATTAAAAGGGGCTTCCCTGATGGCTCAGCTGGTGAAGGATCGCCTGCAATGTGGGAGACCTGGGTTTGATCCCTGGGTTGGGAAGATACCCTGGAGGAGGGAAGGCTACCCACTCCAGTATTCTGGCCTGGAGAATTCCATGGACAAAGAGTCGACATGACTGAGTGACTTTCACACATCTTTAAAGGAATGCAATTGGCCTTCAGAAATTTAATAATATAGAATCTGTTATAGAAGTTGTGAAAAAAACTTTTAAATTTCTCATAGTACAACAATGCTTATATCATGCTATTTTAAAATTCTTGTATGTTTACTTGAGAAGTTATTTATGACAAAGGTATGTGCACAATAAGATTTGTCCTTTGGAAATTTACTGGCCCAGGATCTATATATCCCTTATAAATAGAAGATAATTGTTTACTATTAATTTAAATATGTATGTATTTTATAGTTTTAAACATAATTACCCAACTATAGATCTAGAGATAGATAGATAAACATACACTGATTTTTTAAAATAAGTTCAGTTCAGTTCAGTTCAATCGCTCAGTCATGTCTGACTCTTTGTGACCCCATGAACCGCAGCAGGCCTCCCTGTCCATCACCAACTCCCGGAGTCCACCCAAACTCATGTCCATCGAGCCGGTGATGCCATCTAATCCTCTGTTGTCCCCTCCTCCTCCTGCCTCTAATTCTTCCCAGCATTAGGGTCTTTTCCAATGAGTCAACTCTTCACATGAGGTGGCCAAAGTATTGGAGTTTCAGCTGCAGCAATAGTCCTTCCAATGAACACCCAGGACTGACCTCCTTTAGGATGGACTGGTTGGATCTCCTTATAGTCCAAGGGACTCTCAAGAGTCTTCTCCAACACCACAGTTCAAAAGCATCCATTTTTCGGCGCTCAGCTTTCTTCACAGTCCAACTCTCACATCCATACATGACCACTGACAAAACCATAGCCTTAACTAGATGGAACTTTGTTGGCAAAGTAATGTCTCTGCTTTTCAATTTACTATCTAGGTTGGTCATGACTTTCCTTCCAAGGAGTAAGTGTCTTGTAATTTCATGGCTGCAGTCACCATCCACAGTGATTTTGGAGCCCCCCAAAATAAAGTCTGACACTGTTTCCACTGTTTCCCCATCTATTTCCCATGAGGTGAAGGGACCAGATGCCATGATCTTAGTTTTCTGAATGTTGAGCTTTAAGCCAACTTTTTCACTCTCCTCCTTCACTGTCACCAAGAGGCTTTTTAGTTCCTCTTCACTTTCTGCCATAAGGGTGGTGTCATCTTCATATCTGAGGTTATTGATATTTCTCCCAGCATGTATCTCCATATATATCCATATAATATATATCCATCTATCTATATCTATCTACATCAGGATTTCTGTTACAAGGTATACTCATCAGAATTAATGAACTGTTGCTATCCTGAGTATTCTATAAGATATTCTTGTTTAGAAAAAAATGGGAAGTGCTTGCTTTTTTAAAGGGGAGAAGGTTTTCCTTTTGCCTCTTCTTGATATATTATAGGCAATTGTGTACTTCATTAGACAGTAATCTCATATCTGTAATATGTAACAGTAAATGAGTAATATCATTGTGGTATTAATATTATTAATATCCTTGAGGTGACAAGATTTATGGGATGTTATATTAGTATCACTTCTTTATGCTATAATATCTTCCTTAAACAAAATGAGGTTATTCAATCTTTTTAAGGTTGAAATCTATTTTCAATTTTTAAAGTAAAAATAAGCAAGTAAATTTTATTTTTAAAAATACCAGCAGCTAGCTGGTCAGTGGTTTAATTCATGATAATCTGCAGGTCTCAGAGAACTAAGAATTGATCACAGGATGATTTTGCTGTCAAGATTGTGTTCACATAGTCAACAGTGATAAACATTTATTGAGTGCCTACTCTGTATATGTAAGTCCTAAGATAGTGTATCTACACTTTAGAAGCTCAAATCTGAAGATTTTATGAACTTGATATATTTGGGATATTATTCTGGTTTGAAATTTTCATTTTCCCACATATATTTACTTAACAGTACCATGATGAAGTTACTGTGCCATGTTTTATGGTCGATATCACAGTGAGTAAAAGACAGTTCTGCTTCCCCATTGCTTATACATAAATAAGATAAACTGGTTTTTATTATACTTGCAGTGCAAAGCAAATTGTGTCATATAGTATCAGACTCTAAACAGAAATATGTGGGGATTCAAAGGAGATCATATCCATTTGAATAGAACAAGGAATAGTTTAAGGCAGGTTACTTTTAAGTTTGAACTTGATTGATGTAGGATAATGTTTAAGATATGACTACAACATGTATCTCTACTAGAAAAAATATTAATTAGCTATTATAACTAGACATCCTGAAGTTCTTATCCACATTTTCCTTTTCCTTCCCTTACATTTTTGCTACAGAAGTGAAAAAAAAAGGCCTACTTTTTTTTTTTTTTTGGTCTACTGTTTTAACATGAGTCAGCACATCATAGAAATGATAATGACAGATTTAAACCTACTAGAATTGTTATGGCTGATATTTGCACTGTACTTGGTGCCAGGTGAAGACTTCACTAACCTTTCTTAGTAAATTAATAAGGTAACAGGAGAAAATGGTAAAATTTGTTTCCTTCTCAATGGATTAATTTATAGTTGTCTTTTTTTTTTTTAGTTCCTAACTAGTGTCTTTCTGTTCCAAGCAGGAGTATAATATGGATTCAGAGCTCAAGGATTATTATAACAAGACATTTGCTGGTGAGAACAATACTGCTTCCATTCGGAATTCTGATTTCCCAGTCTGGGATGACTATAAAAGCAGTGTTGATGACTTGCAGTATTTTTTGATTGGACTCTATACACTTGTAAGTCTTCTTGGTTTTATGGGGAATCTACTTATTTTGATGGCTCTCATGAGGAAGCGAAATCAGAAGACTACAGTCAACTTCCTCATAGGGAACCTGGCCTTCTCCGATATCTTGGTTGTGCTGTTCTGCTCACCTTTCACACTGACCTCGGTCTTGCTGGATCAGTGGATGTTTGGCAGGGTCATGTGTCACATTATGCCTTTCCTTCAGTGTGTGACGGTTCTGGTTTCCACTTTAATTTTAATATCCATCGCCATTGTCAGGTATCATATGATAAAACATCCTGTATCTAATCATTTAACGGCTAACCATGGCTATTTCCTGATTGCCACTGTCTGGACACTGGGTTTTGCAATGTGTTCTCCTCTCCCAGTGTTTCACAGCCTCGTGGAACTTCAGGAGACCTTTGGCTCAGCATTGCTGAGCAACAGGTATCTATGTGTCGAGTCATGGCCATCTGATGCATACCGAATTGCTTTCACTATCTCTTTATTGCTTGTTCAGTATATTCTGCCCTTAGTTTGTCTAACTGTAAGTCATACTAGTGTCTGCAGGAGTATAAGCTGTGGATTGTCCAACAAAGAAAACCAACTGGAAGAAAAAGAGATGATCAACTTAACTCTCCATCCTTCCCAAAAGAGTGGGCCCCAAGTGAAGCTCCCCAGCAGCCAGAAGTGGAGCTACTCCTTCATCAGGAAGCACAGAAGGCGGTACAGCAAGAAGACAGCCTGTGTGCTGCCTGCCCCAGCTAGGCCGCCTCTGGAGAACCGCCCCGGAAGGCTTCCGGAGCACGCGGGCCCCAGGAAGAGTCCGCTCCCTTCATCCAGTAAGTTCATACCAGGGGTGCCCACCTGCTTTGAGGTGAAACCGGAAGAAAACTCAGATGTTCATGAGATGAGAGTAAACCAGTCTATCATGAGAATAAAAAAGAGATCTCGAAGTGTTTTCTACAGACTGACTATCTTGATAATTGTGTTTGCGGTGAGCTGGATGCCTCTACACCTTTTCCACGTGGTGACCGATTTTAATGATAACCTGATTTCAAACAGACATTTCAAGTTGGTGTATTGCATATGTCACTTGCTAGGCATGATGTCCTGTTGTCTTAATCCAATTCTGTATGGATTTCTTAATAATGGGATCAAAGCTGACTTAAGGTCTCTTATACACTGTCTGCATTTGTCATAATTCTCAGTGTTTACTAAGGAGAAAAAAAGTGTGGTGATCACCTAAAATATATTCATAGTAACTATGTATTTATAATCAACAAACTTTGTTAACATGTGGAGTTTATATATAAGAGCTGTGGATTTGGATGTCAGTTCATAATATATAGAAGATAATTTTAATGTGTTATATAAGATAAATCCATTTAGTTGTATAAAGTCATTGTCAATCCAGTCTGTAATTTCATTATATTACCTTCCATTTCAGCTTGTCTGTAAACCAATAAATTGTTAGTTCTTGCTTAAAATAAAAATTGTATTAACCATACAAAAAAAATTGTAGCTTTTCGTTCAAAATTTTAGGTAAAAAAAATCTTATTTTTCCTCAGACATTTAATTTCAAATATTAGGAATATTTATTAGTCTTAATCTTTACTTCACAGATTTCTTAATATTTTACTTCTGAAAATACAGAGAAGTTTTAGTATGCCCAACAAACCATAACTAAATGACAGATATATGTTGTTGTCCTTGTTTAGTCACTAAGTCATGCCTGACTCTTTGAGACCACATGCTCCTCTGTCCATGGGATTTCCCACACAAGAATACTGAATGGGTTGCTATTTCATTCTCCAGGGGACCTTCCCAACCCATGGATGGAACCCCATCTCCTGCATTGGCAGGTGGATTCTTTACCACTAAGTCACTAAGGAATTTCCCCTTGGATATAGGCCTAAGTCATAAATTTAATTGCTAACAGTGGGTACAGTTTTGGAACCTCGACAGGAAAATATTTATTTCCTATCATTGATGATTGCTCAAGTTATCAATTTATTCCTCACTATCCTAGCTGTTGTTCAGTCACTAAGTCGTGTCCAGCTCTTTGCAACCCAATAGACTGCTGCATGCCAGGCATATTTGTCTTTCACTACCTCCTGGAGTTTGCTCAAACTCATGTCCATTGAGTCGATGATGCCATCCAACCATCTCATCCTCTGTTGACCCCTTCTCAACCTGCCCTCAATCTTTCCCAGCATCAGGGAAAGAGTTGTGCTTATTTTGCATTTTTCCAGTGAGTCGACTTTTTGTATCAGTTGTCCAAAGTATTGATGGTTCAGCTTCAGCATCAGTCCTTCCAATGAATATTCAGGATTGATTTCCTTTAGGGTTGACTGGTTAGAACTCCTGCTGTCCAAGGGACTCTCAAGAAGCTTCTCCAGCACCACAGTTTGAAAGCATCAATTCTTTAGCACTCAGCCTTCTGTATGGGTCAACTCTCACTTGTGTATATGACCACTGCAAAAACCATAGCTTTGACTATATGGACCTTTGTTGGCAAAGTAATGTCTCTGCTTTTTAATACCCTGTCTAGGTTTGTCACAGTTTTTCTTCCAAAGAGCAACCATCTTTTAATTTCAGGGCTGCAGTCATCATTTGCAGTGATTTTGGAGCCCAAGAAAATGAAGTCTGACAATGTTTCCATTGTTTCCCCATCTATTTGCCATGAAGTGATGGGACTGATGCCATGATCATAGTTTTTTTAATGTTGGGTTTTAAGTCAGCTTTTTCACTTTTATCTTTCACCATCAGGAAGCTCTTTAGGTTCCTCTTTACTTTCTGCCACTAAGGTGGTATCATCTGCTTATCTGAGGTTATTGATATTTCTAACTGTTGCTTTTTGACCTGCATACAGGTTTCTCAGGAGGCAGGTAAGGTGGTCTGATATTCCCATCTCTTTAAGAATTTTCCACAGTTGTGATCCACACAGTCAAAGGCTTTAAGATAGTCAATGAAGCAAAAGAGAATGTTTCTCTGGATTTCTCTTGCTTTTTCTGTGATCCAGCAGATGTTGGCAATTTGATTTCTGCCTTCTCTGCCTTTATTAAGTCCAATTTATACATCTGGAAGTTCTCAGTTCATGTACTATTATAGCATAGCTTGAAGGATTACCTTGCTAGCATGTGAAATGAGCACAGTTGTGCTGTAGTTTGAATATTCCTTAGTATTGCCCTTCTTTGGGGGTTGGAATGAAAACTGACCTTTTGTAGTCCTGTGGCCACTGCTGAGTTTTTCCAAATTTGCTGGCATATTGAGTGTAGCATTTCAATAGCATCACCATTTAGGATTTTAAATAACTCAGCTGGAATTCCATTACCTCAACTACTCTTGTTTATAGTAATGCTTCCTAATGGTTTTCCCTGCTTTCTTCAATTTAAATCTGAATTTTGCAATGAGGAGTTCATGATCTGAGCCACAGTCAGCTTCCAGTCTTGTTCTTCGTGACTGTTTAGAGTTTCTCCAACTTCAGCTGCAAAGAATATAATCAATCTGATTTCAGTATTGACCTCTGGTGATGTCCATGTGTAGAGCTATCTCTTGTGTTGTTGGAAGAGGATGTATATTATGATCAGAGCATTCTCTTGGCAAAACTCTGTTAGCCTTTGCCCTGCTTCATTTGTTCTATAAGGCCAAACTTGCCTGTTCCTCTAGATACTTCTTGACTTCCTCCTTTTGCATTCCAGTCCCCTATTATAATGAAAAGGACACCTATTTTTGGTGTTAGTTCTAGATGGAATTTTAGGTCTTCACAGAGCCATTCTACTTCAGTTTCTTCAGCATTAGTGGTTGGGGCATGGACTTGGATTACTATGATGCTGAATGTACCACTCACATAGCTCACCTAGAAACAAGCAGTTTCTAGGGCATTCTCTGTCAATCACTACAAGCCACCCATCCACACTGTTATGTCATCTCATGTTGCGACAAAAGACATCTGCTTTTCAGTTCCTTTCTAGGTTTTCTAGCACAAAACTAGGTACAAGCCCTTCTCCTTTAAGCTTCCCTCTAATCTTTCTGGGGTTATATGATTGTCCTAAATTTTGACATGATAGCAGAGAAAACTTTGGTTCACTTTTCTTTTCTCTTTCCTCCTTCTTATTGTACAGTCTTCTGCTTCTTTCTGCCTACTAAGAATGTCCCTTGCTAACAAAATCTTCATTTTTCTGTGTTCTGGGGCTTGTGGTAAAACTATGTACAGAATATCAAGGTTTGTTTTTGGAAAAGAAAGCTTTTGTGATTTAAAATATTTCCCCCAGGACTTCCCTATTGGTCCAGTGGTGCAGACTTTGCCTTCTAGTGAGGGAGTATGAGTTCAACCACTAACCTCAGATCCCACGTGCCTTGTGACCAAAAAAAGCCAAGAAAATGGAGGCAATATTGTAACATATTCAATAAAGATTTTTTAAATGGCCATTTAAAAAAATCTTTAAAAAATTAAAGAAAAAACACTTTCCCTTTTAAATGCCTAAATTCAAGACTGTACTGTCACCCCAGACCCCAAACAAAAAAGTCTCAGTTTAAGACTGCCCTTTTATTTAAAAGAAATAGCTATTTTCACTTTCATTAGGGCAATCAATTTAACATTAGTGTCCAAAGGGGGAAGATCTGCTGATAAGGACAAACATAAAAACATAGGAAAGTATTTTATCCTGTTCAGTTCAGTTCAGTCACTCAGTCATATCCTACTTTGTGACCCTATGGACTGCAGCACACCAGGTCTCCCTGTCCATCACCAACTCCTGGAGTTTATTCAAACTCATGTCCATTGAGTCAGTGATGCCATCCAGCCATCTCATCCTCTGTCGTCCCCTTCTCCTCCCACCTTAAATCTTTCCCAGCATCAGGGTCTTTTCCAATGAGTCAGTTTTTCACATCAAGTGGCCAAAGTACTGGAGTTTCAGCTTCAACATCAGTCCTTCCAATGAATATTCAGGACTGATTTCCTTTAGGATGGACTGGTTGGATCTCCTTGCAGTCCAAGGGACTCTCAAACGTCTTCTCCAACACCACAGTTCAAAAGCATCAATTTTTCGGTACTCAGCTTTCTTTATAGTCCAACTCTCACATCCATACACGACTACTGGAAAAACCATAGCTTTGACTACACGGACCTTTGTTGGCAATGTCTCTGCTTTTTAATATGCTGTCTAGGTTGGTCATAACTTTTCTTCCAAGGAGCAAGCGTCTTTTAATTTCATGGCTGCAGTCACCATCTGCAGTGATTTTGGAGCCCAAGAAAATAAAGTCTGTCACTGTCTCCACTGTTTCCCCATCTATTTGCCATGAAGTGATGGGACCAGATGCCATGATCTTAGTTTTCTGAAAGTTGAGTTTAAGCCAACTTTTTCATTTTCCTCATTCACTTTCATCAAGAGACTCTTTAGTTCATCTTCACTTTGTGCCATAAGAGTGGGTTTATCCTGTTAGAGTAACTTATTTAGCAAATGTACAATAGCCAGGACATGGAAGCAACCTAGATGCCCATCAGCAGACGAATGGATGAGGAAGCTGTGGTACATATACACCATGGAATATTACTCAGCCATTAAAAAGAATTCATTTGAATCAGTTCTAATGAGATGGATGAAACTGGAGCCCATTATACAGAGCGAAGTAAGCCAGAAAGATAAAGACCATTACAGTATACTAACACATATATAAGGAATTTAGAAAGATGGTAACGATAACCCTATGTGCAAAACAGAAAAAGAGACTCCTATGTATAGAACAGACTTGTGGACTCTGGGAGAAGGCGAGGGTGGGATGTTTCAAGAGAACAGCATTGAAACACGTATATTATCTAGGGTGAAACAGTTCACCAGCCCAGGTTGGGTGCATGAGACAAGTGCTCGGGCCTGGTGCACTGGGAAGACCCAGAGGGATTGGGTGGAGAGGGAGGTGGGAGGGGGGACCGGGATGGGGAATACATGTTAAAAAAAAAAAAAAAAAGATACACTATGGTTGTGATAAAAAAAAAATAAATAAATAAATAAAAGCAAATGTACAATAATCAGTCAAACCACAGATTTTATGGTTCCTAATAGATGAGTTTAGTTAAACAGGATAAAGAAGCCATTTATCTTCCCTAACCAGAAATGACTGAATGTTCTTAATAATTGAAAGTTGAGAAGTTTAAATGGATTAGTAGATAGAAGTCATTAAGGGGAGCATTAATGGTTTTAG